TCACTGCAACACTTCTAGCTGTTTACATCTTCTCTTGAAGAGATAATGTAATTCCTGTGTATAAACCTTCTCCCTGCTGCAGAGGTGGAGGGTCTGGATGTTTTACACTTCAAAAACACCAGCAAGGGCCAGATTATGTTTATCCGTTGGATTTCTGTTGATATTAACTTTCCTTGCATCCCATTGAAATGACAAAAAAGATTAGTTTTATGTACTTACTGCAGAAAAAAGAGAATTTTTGGTGAAAAAGCATAGACCCTATGATCTGATCCATCTTCTCTTTGCTATTTCCAACTACTTAAAGCATAATGTCACACTGAAATGCACACTTGGAGTACTGCATTCTCTTCTCCTGACAGATTGTTATGATGTTTTCCAAGGTGACCTTCATAAAACATGTTTCTTTTGAAGCTTATATTTCACTCTCAGGTCATAATAGTTTCACACAGACAAGCAAACCGTCAGCTCCTGCTTTCTAATTAATGCTTCTTGGAGTCTTCTGAGTGGGGGATATAATTAATAGCACTTAAGTCTGGAGTGCAGACAAATCTATAGCCGATTACTAGGATGTGTATTTACCTCAGCATTATACACAAACAGCTCCTGAATGCAGCCATGAACAGCCTAGACCACACTCTCTGGGAATTCCCCAGGACCTGACACCACCTTGATTATAACTCTAGTGTAAGCACTCAAAAAGTTACCTTGCTTATGAAGGGAGGCTCTGAACTACTGAGAGGTCTCTGATTGCTGCAGCCCTTTTCCCTGGTCCTATTCCCCACAGCATGTTGTGTTTTCTACAACTGCATGGTGACTCTGCTTGCCAACAGGCAGCATCTATTGCAGGAAATACCTCTGACCATGCCTGTGTTGCCACTGTGGTGCTTACCCAGGGGACAACCTGTGTCGTGGTCCCCACTGCAAATACAGCATCTTTCAGGGCAGACTGTGTCCTCACTGCATAGCATGTGTCCCAGATCCACTCTGTGGATCCACTCCAAGGCATAGTCATTTTTTTGTGGTTTTATGCAGTTTAAAGTACTAGAAATAATAGGAGGGTTTTTCTTACAGTAAAACAAGCAAAGAATAGTGTTGCAAGTCATCTTGTCATACTTGCCTAAATTTCAGGAAAGTGATGGGATTGCTCTGGTGTTCACTCTCATGCATGCAGCATGGATTGTCATGCTCCAGAGGTGCTGGAGCAAAATCAGATGCAAGTCAAATTGCCAGTTTAAATTCCCTCTGGTCAGCTGCTGCTAACAGTGGCAATTTCCCTGCTGAAGTCAATAGAACAGCATCTTTCTACACATGCTGAGATCTTGGTGCAGAGCAGGCAGCTGTGAGGCAGGGTGAGTGCTCTTAGAGAATGAGGGGGGAAAAAAAAAAGAATAAAATTCATACTCTCTGGCAAAGCTGGAAAGACTATATTACCTAGAAACATTGCCAGACTGGGGGCAAGGGGGAGAACTGACATCAGAAATCATGCAAGACATTATTTGGAGAGATTTTTATATGGATTTGGCATGTTGAATGACACCAAATATTCAGATGGTTTAGCAATTAAATACTAGTGAATATTTGTAACTCAAAAAGCACTTGGCAACAGAATATCACTGTCAACCTCATTATGCAAAGGGACATTTTGACATCGTACTTAAGACTGACTACTTTTCTAATGGCATAAAAGTATTACTTCAGTTATGCATATAGTAGGAAAACTTCTACTGAAACTTGCACAGCCTGGTTCTTTCTTCAGAAACAACGACACAGAATGAAACTGCCTTTGAAGAGAAATATTTTTCACATACTATCTGAAGGTTAGTAACTCTTTTAATCTTTAGCCTTTTTGCTGGCATGTGCAATTTAAAATGCACAAAACAGACTATCAAAACACCCAGCTATAGATAGAAAATTCAAAAGGCACAGCTGAAAATAGGCCTGGAAATTAAGATGCTGCATCA